AAGGGCTAAGACACTGAGCTATGGACCTTGGCACCCAGTTGCCTCTTCGGCACAGGCAAGCTATAGGAGAGCGGACTATAAGTCGCTCCCCCAGCCTAAGGGCTAAAGCGTCGAGCTAACGAAAGACCTCGACACCACATAAGACTTAGGCGCCTCGTTGGCATGGGATAAGTATGTTTAACGCCAAGGCACGGGCAGCTCGGGTGTGAACCCCATGATGCACAGCCTGCCCCGACATACAACAAGTTGAACCCGTTAGGGACAAACAATGTCAGCTTGAGTAGCCCGGGTGCAGACAGTTCGGATATATACCCTACTATGTTGCTCACTCAGGTGTACATCCAGAGTTTACCCCTACTAAGTACTGGGAGACAATTCAAGGTAACAACAGTCGAGAAACCTCCACTTCGAGTACTTGGCTCAATAACTTAACAGTTTGGGGTAAAATAGTTACTTCGGMAAATAAAATAAATTGCACAACACTTGGCAAAAAGTGTATTTTTCATTACAAATGAACTCCGTTACAAAAAGTTTTACAAAAGGAGAAAAAACTAAGCTCGTAGGCTCAAAGTACAAGAATTGCTCGAACTACTTGGAGGACTTCTCGCCCGGGGCTTCCGCAATGGTGYCAGCTTGATCGGCAACCTGGTTTGTAGCGCCGACCTCCCCGATGTCTTCGTCTCCCTCCTCTTCCGAGTCTGGGTCTTCAGCGGCTTCGCGGGCTACCTCTCCCATGATTCATGAGGTGGTGATGGTGCTCACATTGAGTTGTGGGAACTCGTGCTTGATCAACCATTGACTGAGCTTGAAGCCTTTGCGGTAGGCATCCACCATCACCCTGTCGAACTCCTCAGACATAACGTACTCTTGAACGGCCTTGACTTTGGCCTCCTCCATGGCATCAAGAAGGGTTTCAGTTCGCTCCTTAATGTCAGCTTCGAGATTCTCGACCTGACGCTTCAAAGTAGCCTTCTTGCGCAGTAACTCCTCCCTCTCGTCAAACAACTCCTCCCTTTCGCACAGCCATCCCTCTTTCTCTGACCTCAGAGCTGACACATCGCTTTCCAGCCCGTGGATTTGGCCACGAGCTAGCTCCAACTTGGCGTGGGCTGTGCGGGCTGAATCCTCAGCAACCCGAGCTCGCTTCAAGTGCCTCTTGGACTGGAGGGTCAGGGCGTGCATGGCGGAGTTCACCTGCCAAAAGAATGCCAGTTAGTACCAATAAAGCAACAAGTACAGAAGTTACAAAAACAATGAGACTTACCACCATGGAGTGGGTAGCCGCTCGAGCTCCGAGCTGAGCAGGCGTTAGCTTAGCCCATTCGGAGACTTCTTCGGGGTACACAGCCCCCTTGCTCTTCCAAAGGCTGCATTATGGATTTAGTATGCTCCGAGTTGCTCCCTCACTTCCTGAGGTAGAGACAGGAGCGGACTCTGCAGTAGTCTCAGAAGCGGGCTCCCCAGTCTCAGGAACGGGCTCCGCTGTCACCTCAGGCCCCCGAGGTGGAAGGCTCTCCGGCTCCTCCATGTCGATCACTGGAGCATTAGTAGGCGGCTCGGGCTCGGGAGTAGGGGCCAACRGAGATTCAACAYGAGCTCTCTTTGTAGCTCGCCTCTTTCTCCCCTTCAAAAGAGTTCGACGTCARTAATATTACCAAGAAGAAACTGGCAGCCAAAGAAAAATACTAACTCTAAACAAGGCGACCTACCGGGACTCAAACCAGCCTCAATGAACTTGTTCTCGGCAAGATAGTCCTTGTAGTCGAAGCTGAGCTCCGCCCAAGATTGAAGCATCTCACTTGTTTTCTTGTCCAACCTAATGCCGGGGTCTTGAATGGCCACCCTCTAGTGAGTAGGGAAGGGCCACCCCACAGTGTTACAGACTACAAAGTAGTCCCGTTTCCAGGCCGAGACTTTACTAGGAAGTTTGTGCAACAACTTAAAGCCCGGGCGGGGGGACAGATAGTAGGTCCGCCTATGCTCGGGGAGAACGCTGGATGCATTCTTCTTTATCGATAAGATAGAGGAGAAAATTTTGAGATCAAGGGGGAGGGCGTAGTCGAAACAAAGGGAAATTGTACTGACCACGTTCTGGACTAAGTTCGGGTGGAGCTGATCTATAGTTATGTCAAAGTGATACAACACTTCAACGATGAGAGGGTGCAGTGGAAAGCGGAGCCCAGCCGCGAGTTGTTCCCCGAAAACCACAATCTCTTCACGACCGTGCTCCCAGGGAAAGTCGCCCGCGGGAAGATGGTAGGAGTACTCCCTAGGAAGGTTGTACTGGGCTATCAGGCTCCTCAGCCTGTCTACCGTCATGGTAGAAGGACCGAACTTGTCTGGTATCCGACCTCGATAGAGGTGGATGTCGGGTTACCCAAGGTCCTACGCACCTCATAGGTGGAATGTGCTTCAGAGGCACCGACTTGAGCCAAGGTACCCACCTCGGGCTCGTCTAGGAGACTATCCACTGGAGCCGGGGCACCCCCCTCAGGCTCATCTAGTTGACTGTCGAAGCTATGGTCTGACATAGCTACGAACTGGAAAATGAGCTAGAGGAGACTAGCTACGAAACTGAAACTAAAAAACTGGAAACAATCTGAAAGGAGCTAGGGAGACTTACCTAAGAAAACGCAACGACAAGAAAAAAAGACAAATTGGAGAACCCGAGCTAAAGACCTTAGACGCGACTTCAAGACGAGTGCTAGTGAGCTTATGGCAGAGAAAATGACAGGGGTCCTCCCTATTTATAGCCGGTATGCCCGAGATTCAACGATTGAGATCAAGACGATCTAACGACCCTCAAGAAAACCGGCTACGTGACCTTCAAGGTGAAATCGGTTTAGCGCATTTTTTGACGTCCGCGGAGTCTATAAATCGCGTCACGTCCACGCGTGAACTGTACGCGATC